AAAAAAAAACTGCGGTTAAAATGTAAAGGAGCTTATATTCTAGATTCTAGATAACCTATTCTATAAATATCATCACAACATATTTCCTAAAATTCATATCCGTACTTTATAATTCAATGAGGATGTCATGTGTCTGTAATTTGATCTATAAAGGGGATTTAAATCGAAGGGATAAATTGTCGCAATACATCCTTCCGGAAAGCACTTGGCTATAAAGCCTTGGCTATAGAGCCTCGTTTTCGTAATTGAGTTTAGAGACCTTTATTATATATTGTTACAGGGGGACACATTTACCAAATCATACAGTTATATCAGTGAAATAGTGAATATAAAACTTTTTATGTAATTAGATCATCAGCAACAAGACAAACGGCTCTCAAGCCGATACTTGAATCCCGAAAACGAGGCTACATAGCCTACGGCCCTGGTTGCCAGAGGTTCTCGTATCTTTCGCCTTATTCCCGCTAAATAAATACTAACGGGAATAAGGCGAAAGATACGAGAACCTCTGGCAACTAGGGTATAGTATACATAGCCAAGACTAAGTACTTTCAGATAGGGTCTATTACTAGTAGTTCCTTTTAATATTGTCCTGACTTACTACTAGAGACTGGCATATGATCGGTTTCAATATCTCGGTTCAACTATCTCATTAGTAATTCGTGGACACAGACGATTTGATTTTAAAAGACGCTTAATTCGCGTTTTTGTGAACAGTTTAATTGGTAACCGGTGATTTGTTGAAATCAGCGATGTTGCAATTTTTTGTCAATTTATAATGTTCTAGAAATTGGAATGAAGGATTAGGGGAAACACCGACACTCAAAATTGAAACATTGAATGTTCCTAACACCGGAAATATAACGGTGATAACTTTTATTGTTAATCCCAAGTGGAACAACATTTATACGCAATATAATTGGTTATGTAGTTTAAAAGCTCTTTATGTTTTTATAGCTTTCAAGGGCATGCCTAACAGACATTTTATAATGATATACTGAAATTTACATGTATAATAATTAATAAATATTTTCTGTCACAGCTTGAACTAAGACTGAAGTTAAGTTTCCTAGACACACTGTACGATTTAAATTTAAATCCTTGGTATATTCAATTTCCCCCTGCGGTATGATATCAACATCATAATAGTGATTACATGTGGCTCAAAAATATTCTAAACTCTTACACATATTCTTGTGCTACAAATATTTAAATATTGCTAAAAATATAAGAATACTAGATCATGATTGCACAAATTAGTGGTAAAAATTAATTACTATTTTATTTTATATAGAATTACGGTGTACTAGAGAAAATGGTTAACCTAGAAATTAAATTTCCTGGTTATTTTATCTCACTTCCTACAAGTCAGGTTAATGACTAATGTACTCAGGAATCTAGTTATATATGACCAGGAAGTCCTTGTCAAAATATACAGACAATATTTTAGGTGCCACTGGATAAATAACCAAGGGCCAATTTTGTACATGGAAACTATCGAGTGGAAATTCGATGACTATTTAAAACATGAGCAGCAGTGTTTTATCAGATATAAAGATACGAGGCGAAGCCAAGACTATATTTAGGTCTGATAAAACACGCACTGCGAATGTTTTAAATTGCTTCAAAAACGATCGATCTAGTATAAGTTCATTGGCGAAGTAATCAATCAAAAACTACGTTGAGTAAGTCGAGAAAATCAAAGTTAAAGTTTATGTAAATCAAGGGAAATCTCTATCACATATAAAGATACGCTTATGATTTTTCTTTGTGTCTTCCTCATGAATTGTTAATGAGTTTTTGAAATACATGTAATAATAAATGTATATAGAATTTCGATAATTTCCGTCTACAAAACCCTCAACTATTACTCAATCGAGTGAGATGTCAACAAAATCTTGACATTTACCCATACCTTAGCATGGCAGGACCTAGTATACCGTAAACCTCCGACTATAAGCCCCCTCCCCCGAATATAAGCCCACCACATATACTAACGCTCACCTCATTCCAAATATAAGCCCACCCGAAAATAAGTCCCCCAAATAGAGGTCCCCCGAATATAAGCCTAGTAGCCCACTACGTATTCAACATTGACATTGACTTTTAATATATAGCAGAGAACGATATTTAAAAACATTGTCTTTATAGCCGACTATGTGAATCAAAGCACGTTATTAATACGTGTTTATTTTCCTGTTTATGACTGACTTGTTTATTACCAACACAAAAGGTCGTCCATGTATTAGCCCCCCCTTTATATAAGCAAGTTTCCATATATAAGCCTTACATATGCTCCCCTATAAGCCCATATATAAGCCCCCCCCTTATATAAGCCCCCCTTATATAAGCCCATCAAAAATCGCTTACGAAAGTATATACACGCTTTTCATAAATGGCTGCCGATTAAAAATTCTTTTATGTGCATATAAATTGACCCAACTAGCCTCGTTTCTGGGTAGAAATTCCTTTGAAATCTTAACATGAGTACGAGGCTAGTTGGGCCAATTTATATGCACATAAAAGAATTTTTAATCGGCAGCCACTTATGAAAAGGGTGTATAAGCCCAGGGCACAGAATAAAGATTAGTACCAGAAGGGCCACTCAGCGTTGCAACGTGTCACCATTTTTCTATGCAAAAATATGCAGTTGACTGGCCAGAAGGCGGGGGGGCCTTCAGCCAATACAGCGCGTTTATTGGCCAGAAAACTTAATCGACTGGCTAGGAAGATGGCGGCCAGGGTGACAAAAACTTCAAAGCTTCCGACGTAAGTGGCCCTTCTGTGTGCCTTATTCTGTGCCCAGGGCTTATAGTCGGAGGTTTACGGTATAGACATGAATTTGTGGTTAAACAACTGGACTCTGTAGCTCAGATGGTTGGAGCGCTGCCCCAGAATCCCAGGGCTGCAGATTCAGCTCCTGCCAGGGACCTACATAGTTGCATTTTTCACAGCTGTTCCTGGTTAGGTCTAATAGATGTAGAGTATAGAATTTCCACTCAATAATTTCCATCTACAAAACACTCTTATTCAATGCAGGCCTTACAATAAAGTATCTTTTACAGGGCCGTCTGACAAAATGTCCAATGACTTTGAGTTGGACATATCTATGATGATGTCCGATGACATTCAGTTCAGTTTGTCTCGGAAATAATAAGTACACATATCATATTAGGGAAATACTTTTTCCTCATACTTATTTCCTGGCCAAAAATGAACTTGCTTGCCAATAACAGCAGTAGAATGTCGACAACTTAAGCCCGTTTTCCACTTCACTATTGGCAAATTAAAACAACATTTCCGGTTCACTTTCTCGACATTACTCTGATTCTCCATTTAACATACAATTACCTCTAGTCCTGGACTAGGAGGGTACACTTTGATTTACGTCTGACAAAGCTACAGTTCAATCAGACACCAATACACTTGGGTCGCACAAACAGAATGTCAGGTGGTTTCCTATCTACATCGGACAATTTCACGAATGGGTCGGACAATGTCCGTGACTGACCGATATTTTAGGGCCTGTAATCAAGTGAGATGCCAACAAAATCTGGTCAAATTAACTAGACTATAGTAGGAAAAGATAAAAAAAAACAAAGAAGTTCAACCAGGATTATTAAGTTAAAAGCATTCTTAATTTGACCAGGACTTCCTGATTTACCAGATTATGCTATGCTATGTGGATACATTACCAGGGGCTCTGGTTATACATCCACCTATAGCATAATCTAGTTATTTTAACAAGGATGTCCAAGGTCACATACAACTAGATTTCCGGCTACATTAACCAGACTATGATAGGAAATTTAAGCAGGAATATTAAGTTAAGCCCAACCAGAAAATTTTAACCAGATACATTTACCTACAATTTATTAAAAGTACATGTCTTGTGGTGATTGAGCCATAAGCAGTGTTCCATCTTATTATGCTTCACCAACTAGAAAAATAGTATTAAAGATTACCTACAGAGTAAAATGATCAATTATCATCAATATGCATTGTGTCCAATTAACCTATTAAGATGCATTGTGCCCCAATGCACCCAATCCATATAATGATATTACTCTCAGTGTCTAATGCCCCCCCCCCTCGATAACTTTTTAGGGAAAAAAATTTCTGGACTAGTATGTTGTAAATGCTTTTGCCTCACTTTCCCTTAATTTGCCATACCAAATTTTGAAAATTATGAAAATTATAACACTAGAAATGCCATATTCCCTGCGATATGGGCATTGAATTATGAGCTTCAGTTTGACTTAAAAAAAGGAACCTTGGAAATTATGCCATATTTCTGAATTTGATTTTTTTTGCACCCCCCTTGTGCCCCTGTTGACCAAGACCAATCCACCCCTGATGTTAACAGACATGCCAATATGAAACTGAAGATGATATGATTGACCCATGAATGCCTCTCACCGATGAGTTAAAAATTAACATCTCTGGGCACATAGTGGTATCATTAAAATGCATAGACCCATCCGGCCGGATATGACAGTACCTGTGCACATATCCAGGAATATTTGCATCACCATTCAGTGACAATATTCAGACTCCTAAGGTAGCCCGAGAGAACAGACATTCTTTTATACTGAAGTGCGAAAGAACATCTGTTTTCACAGGGTTGTATCCAGCCTGTTTTAAAGCTTCCTAGGTTAGTGTAAAACTTTACAGCAAATTTCTCAACAGCTTGTTTATAAACATGGAAATATTTTCCCAGAAATCTTGTCTGGATCGATAAAAGTTCTACTTTCTAATTTTTAAAAGAACATGACCTGCAGGAATGTGTGAACCAAACATTGGGTTAAATTTTACCCTGGGTTAGGTTGTCTATGGCTAAAATGTGGCTGTCTAAATTTGCAAGTAGCCATCCATAGGAATTAGTTGGACAGGCCAGGTTGGCCGCCTGCCTATTAAAATGCCTGATAAGATTTTGTTCACATGTTTGGTTCATGGTTAGATGTACTCCAGAGTCATATAGTGGATAGTTTGTATCATTGCAGCCAAGATATTGCACATGCAGTTTTGATGTGTAGAATTTTGAAATCTTAGGTGCATTGTGCACAGTTTGCCAAATTTTCCAGTACGGGCTGTGCTCAATTTCGTCCGGTTTCATGCATCCCATGTGACCGGGGAGGGCACAATTGGGCAAATATGAGTACGGCCTCAAAATCCTCTGGGTCTAACCACTGAGCTGCATATATATCTGGAGAGAGAACTCGAGTCCAAAAAGTGAAGCCAGCTTTGTGTTAACCATGGAAACAAAAATAGAAAGGGACTGGAACTGACATTCAATAGCTCCTTCAATTTCCACCATCTTGGCAAAGGATCAATCTCGTACCCAGAGCCATCGTTGAGTGGCTCTGGCCACACGAGTTGAGTTAATTAGAAAATACGGTAAAAGTGGTAATAAATCCATGTCCTATATACGCGAATATGAGACACACTCGCTCTATATTCACATGTACACCGTTATCCACTGTTATCTAGTGTCATCTACCGTTATCCACTGTTATCTAGTGTCATCTACCGTTATCCACTGTTATCTAGTGTCATCTACCGTTATCCACTGTTATCTAGTGTCATCTACCGTTATCTACCGTCATCTAGTGTCATCTACTGTCATCTACCGTCATCTAGTGTCATCTACCGTCATCTAGTGACATCTACCGTCATCTAGTGTAATCCACCGTCATCTAGTGTCATCTAGTGTCATCTACCGTCATCTAGTGTCATCTAGTGTCATCTACCGTCATCTACAGTCATCTACTGTCATCTACCGTCATCTACCGTCATCTAGTGTCATCTACTGTCATCTACTGTCATCTACCGTCATCTACCGTCATCTAGTGTCATCTACTGTCATCTACTGTCATCTACCGTCATCTACCGTCATCTAGTGTCATCTACAGTCATCTAGTGTCATCTAGTGTCATGTAGTGTCATCTAGTGTCATGTAGTGTCATCTAGTGTCATCTACCGTCATCTAGTGTCATATACCGTCATCTACCGTCATCTAGTGTCATCTAGTGTCATCTACCGTCATCTAGTGTAATCCACC